CACTGGTTTGGTTAATTTGAGGTCAGCGTCCTTGTCACCGTCCCTCAAGCTGATGGTCGGGAGGACCAGAAGCTTGTCCCGTAAGAGAGAAAGGCGAGAGGAAGAAAGAGACTTAGTGAAAATGTCCGCAGGCTGATCAAGAGTGGAAATGTGGCGAACAGTGATATGTTGTGATTGAATGCAGTCCCGAATAAAGTGATGATCCACTTCAATATGTTTCGTTCGGGCATGGAAGATGGGATTGCAGGCAATAGACATGGCGGAGACATTATCGCAGTATAGTTCGGTAGGCGGAAGATGTATGAGAAAGTCCTGACAAAGTCGCCTGGTCCAGATGATGTCGGTGGCTGCGGCAGCCATGGAGCGATATTCTGCCTCGGTTGATGAACGAGCAACCGTCTTTTGTTTTTTAACAGACCAAGAGAGCAGAGCGGTGCCGAAGAATAAGCAAAATCCAGTTGTAGACTTGCGGTCCAAAGGATCCCCTGCCCAGTCGGAGTCGGAATATGCGGACAGAGTTAGTTCGGTTTTAGGTAGAACCAAACTGTAATTGAGAGTGCCCTGTAGATAACGCAATATGCGTTTAAGTAACAGAAAATGCAGCTGGAGAGGAGAATGCATATGCTGACATAGTTTATTGACTGCAAAGGCGATATCTGGTCGAGTTGAAGTAAGGTACTGAAGCGATCCGGCAATGGTCCGAAAGAGTTCCGGCTGAGCAAATGGTTGTTGGAGAGCGGGATCATTCGGGAATTTGGATGGTAGCGGTGTGAGGAGGGGTTTGCAATTGGTCATGGATGCTAGATGGAGAATGTCCCGAATGTAAGAGGATTGAGACAAATGATAACTATCGGCAGAGCGTTGAAATGTGATGCCAAGAAATTTGGAGAGGTGTCCAAGATATCTTGTATGAAATTGTTTTTGTAAATTGGAGATCAGCATTTTGATGAGGGTGGAGTCATTACCAGTGACTAAGATGTCATCAACATAGACAAGGACATAAATATTGGTTTGGTCATAGTGGTAATGAAAGAAAGATGGATCTGCCGAGCTGGGTGAAAACTTTTGTTGCCGAAGATATGTAGATAGCGTCGCAAACCATAAACGAGGGGCTTGCTTAAGTCCGTAAAGAGCCTTGTGGAGAAGACAGACATGATTAGGACGCGAGATGTCCTCAAAGCCCTGGGGTTGAGACATGTAGACGGGTTGATCCAATTTCCCGTGCAGGAAGGCATTCATCACATCAAGCTGATGAACAGGCCAGTCGTGGTGTAAGGCAACAAGAAGAAATAAGCGTATGGTGGTAAATTTAACCACAGGACTGAAGGTCTCCATATAATCAATTCCATACTGTTGTTTATAACCCTGAGCAACCAGCCTTGCTTTGTGTCGAGCGACAGTCCCGTCGGCAAAAAATTTAAGTTTGTAAATCCATTTGCAGCCAATGATCGTATGGTTTGGCGGTGGGGGCACTAATGACCAAGTAC